GATCCCATCTATCCTAAACTAGAGAAGTTGGACATCATGATTCATTTGGCATTCCAAGCCAACACTGCTCAGGTTCTGGCAGAATTAAAGGAATATGCCACAGAGGTGGATGTTGGCTTTGTTCGCAAAGCTGTGTGGGCCATTGGACGGTGTGCCATCAAAGTGGAGTGATCCGCAGGGCACCATGTACGCATATTGCCTGATCTCATCTGGACCAAAGGAAATTATGCGGTCCAAGAGGTAACTGTTGCCATCAGGGACAGCTTTCACAAATACTCCAACAAGTATGAAAGTATCACTGCCACTCTATGTGAGAACTTAAGACTTGCTGGATGAACCAGACGCTCGAGCAGCTCTGATTTGGATTGGGGGAGAATATGCTGAGAGAACAGATAATGCAGATGAGTTACTGAAGAGCTTCCTGGAGGGTTTTCATGATGAAAGCACCAGGTGCAGCTTACTCTACTTACTGCCATAGTGAAGCTGTTTCTCAAGAAACCATGAAATACACAGGAGCTGGTACAGCAAGTCTTGAGTTTGGCAACACAGGACTCTGATAATCCTGACCTTTAAGACCGGGGCTATATTTATTGGTGCCTTTTCTCAATGGACCCTGTCACAGCCAGAGAAGCAGTCTTGTCTAAGAAGCCACTGATGTCTGAGGAGACAGATCTTCTTGAGCCAACTCTGCTAGATGAGCTAATCTGCCACATTGCTTCTTTGGCCTCAGTATACCATTAGCCTCCCAATGCTTTTGTGGGAGGAAGTCACGGAATCCATCCCAAACACTTGCCAATACACCATGGGAGCACTAATGCAGGTGACAGCCCTGCTGGCAACACCACTGCCACCAACCTGGAACAGCCTCAGGTTAGCCCCTCTCAAGGTGACCTTCTAGGAGACCTTTTAAACCTTAAACCTTGACCTCGGCCGCCCAATCAATGTGCCACAGGTCCTCCATGCAGATGGGAGCAGTGGATCTCTTGGGAGGAGGACTAGATGGTCTGGTGGGACAATCCTTCATCCCCTCATCAGTGTCTGCAACCTCTGCTCCTTCACCTACTCCTGCTGTGGTCAACAGTGGTCTGAACGACCTGTTTGAACTCTCCATGGGGAGAGCACCTGATGGATGTCTGGCTGCCTGTAGTAAAAGCTAAAGGCTTGGAGATTTCCGGAACATTTAGTCACCGCCAAGGGCACATCTATATGGAAAGGAACGTCACCAACAAAGCTCTGTAGCACATGACAGACTTTGCAATCCAGTTTAACAAGAATAGCTTTGGTGTCATCCCAAGCACTCCTCTGGCCATCCATACACCACTGATGCCAAACCAGAGCATTGATGTCTCCCTAACTCTCAACACCTTGGACCCAGTCATGAAGATGGAACCTTTGAATAAACTGCAGGTAGCTGTGAAAAGTAATAATTGATGTCTTCTCCTTCAGCTGCCTCATCCCACTCAACGTGCTTTCCGTAGAAGATGGCAAAATGGAGCGCCAGGTCTTCCTTGCAACATGGAACGATATTCCCAATAAAAATGAGCTTCAGTTTCAGGTTAAGGAATGTCATTTAAATGCTGGCACTATTCCCAACAAATTGCAAAACAATAATGTTTATACTATTGCCAAAAGGAATGTGGAAAGGCAGGACATGCTGTACCAATTCCTGAAGCTCACTAATGGCATTTGGATTTTGGCTGAGCTATGCAGACAGCCAGGAAGCCCAAATTATATGCTGTCACTGAAGTACAGAGCTCCTGAAGTCTCTCCATATATCTATCAGGTCTACGACAGCATTTTGAAAAATGAATAGACTGGTCCGGTGCCCTCTGGCCACCCTGGGATTGGTGCAAACCAAGAACTCTTACCTGGAAACACCAAGAAATTGTATTACTGTGTAGAATCTGAACCCAAACACACTGAGGCCACCCACCAAGGTAGTGACTAGTCTAACCTGTGCTAACACTAAGGCACAATCTGTTGGATAGTTTTAGCTTTCATTTTTTATGTCTGTAACTCACTAAATAGTTCAATCTGTGTCTTAGTCCACCACCCCCTAAAGGGAGAGGTAAAAACCACTGTTATTAAAAAAAAAAAGGCCCATTTTTTGAAACCAGGTCTAAAGCCAACTGAGTTTTTTTTTGTTGTTGTTATTTATTTATTTATTTGACAGAGAGCACAAGCAGGGGGAGCGGCAGGCAGAAGGAGAGGGAGAAGCAGGCTTCCCGCTGAGCAGGAAGCCCAGTGCGGGGCTCCATCCCAGGACCCCGGGATCATGACCTGAGCCGAAGGCAGACACTTAACCAACTGAGCCACCTAGGAGCCCCAAAACTGAGTAGTTTTAAATGCTTACTCTTACTATAGGATAATTTAAGAAGGAAAAGAGGTATCAGATAAACTTATTTAAACTTCTTCTTTTCTGTTTTGTTTTAAAGTAGTCATAGCTATCTAAATTATTGCTTAAGTCCTTTCTAAAGTCTAAGAAAACAAGCAAAGTCTTTAAAATTCTGTTTCATTATAGGCTAGACTATAACAAACTCATGATGCAATAAAGTTGATTTTTATGTGCTGCATATATACTTGATATTTACGTGGGATCCCTTATATGAATTAACAGGTACAATGCACTGATAACCATTTTTTGGACTGGAAGTGTCCAACCCTTCTGGTTGATTTCAGAGGTATACAGTCTTAGCTTTTGGCACACTGTCAATTATAACCTTGTCATGGTGAAATATGATCTAATATATGACAATCTTTTTACAACCAGTTTCCAAGGATATATTGTGATAAATAAGACTATCTGTACTAAAACTCTAAACTACTTTACAGGAGAATCAGTTTACATTATTACTCCCTAAAAATTAGAAAAAAGTAACTTTCCAACATTAGAATAATTACATAAATTATGGTACAGCCACTACATAGTTCTTAAAAATGACAAACGGATTATAAATTAACACTGGAAAATGCTTATGATAGAACACTGGAATAAAAAGTGAGATGCAAATTTTTCAGTACAGAATGATTATCGTATAGAGTAACTTGGAGAGATAAAGATATAATGCTAAGAGTAGATATTTTAGGATAGCAGGATTATAGGTAACTTTTTCTTCTCTCTTTCCTAAAAGCGTAAAATTTACTTCTATTATTTAATGAAAATAACTGTTATTAATAAAAAAGCATCACTGAATACATATTTCACATGACACTATTTTTTTTAACTTTTAATCCTGTCTTATAATGAGAGTTAATGGCAGAGAGGGCAGAAAAATTTCTTCAGAACTTAAATTCTGTAAGAAATAAAAGGAAGAGGTAGAATTCTGACTGCAAAGAAAACTAAAGGAAAAAAAGACAACTTACTGATGTCTAAAGATGTGATTATTAAATCTGTTGTAAAATTCTAAGTTTTCTTTTTCAATTACTTTTTTGGGAAAGAAACATTAGCATAAGTAACTATAAAGAAAGATCACAACTACAATACGCAAAAGACACAGGTGAGATTACAGAAAGAGAAAGGAAAGGCACTGCCAAATATTAGCGCATCTGGTATCAGTGACCACGAACTATCAACAAGGACATTATAAAGACCATTTTCTTTTAGTGAGATTCCCAACCTTGTGTGCATGTTAACTTTCTTAAATCCTACCACTGATAGGATATAATTATTTAACACAATGAATCTGTGGCCATTCTACTTCCTGATATCCTTTAGTGAACAAGAGAAAACACTTCAGAGATAAGATCTGAGAAACAGAATAAAGTCCATCAGTAAGTAACAAGATAAAAAGAATGTGCCAAAAAACCAAATAATCCGATGAAAAATGGGCAAAAGACATGAATAGACATTTCTCCAAAGAAGACATCCAGATGGCCAACAGACACATGAAGACATGCTTAACATCACTCATCATCAGGGAAATGTAAATCAAAACCACAATGAGTATCACGTCACACCTGTCAGAATGGCTAAAATAAAAAACACAAGAAACAGGTATTGGCAAGGATTTGGATCCCACCTTTGGTGGGAATACAAACTGGTACAGCCATTATGGAAAACAGTATGGAGGTTCCTCAAAAAATTAAAAATAGAATTACCACAGGATCCAGTAATTCTACTACTATTTACCCAAAGAATATGAAAACACTAATTCAAAAAGATATATGTAACCCTGTTTATTGCAGCATTATTTACAATAGCCAAATTATGGAAGCAGCCCAAGTGTTCATTGACAGATATATGGATAAAGAAGATGTAATATATATACAATGGAGTATTACTCAGCCATGAGAGAGAATGAAATCTTGCCACGTGCAACAACACGGATGGACCTAGGGAGTATAAGGTCAAGCGAAATAGGTCGGTCAGAGAAAGGCAAATACCATTTGATTTCACTCATATGTGGAATTTAAGAAATAAAAGAAATGAACAAAGAAAAAAAGAGGCAAAGCAAAAAACCGACTCTTAACTAGATAGAACAAACTGATGGTTACCAGAAGGGAGGTGGCTGGGGGAATGGGTGAAATAGGTGAAGGGGATTAACAGTACACTTATCATGATGAGCACTGAGTAATGTATAGAATTGGTGAATCACTACATTGTACACCTGAAACTAATATAACGCTGTATGTTAATTATACTGGAATTAAAAATAAAAGTAACCTCTTAACCCTATCTGGTCATTTACTAACTTCAACAGCAATCTGCACATGATGGACATTCAATAACAAGTGTTCATTATCAAGTACAACAGAGAATATTCTGTTTTTAAGACCACAAAATATTTCTAATATTCAGAAATCACAGCAAATTTAGAATGATAGCTAAAAATATTAGTTCATCTCCCCATTTGTATAAATATTTATAGACGTGTTTAAGAAAAATACACTACCTTTTTTAAAAGGAATCTAGATTAATAAATTTAAAAAGCAAGAAGACAAAACAGATTATCCACACAAAAATGTGTCAAACTGGAAACTGTAAATCTTAATCACCTTACCGTATGTGGCAAAAGTTCTTCTTTGTTGTTCAAACATAAAATCATTGATATGAGCTGGTTCAGCATATCCAGAAAGCATATTTCTAGGGGCAGCCATTTGCTGTGTCCTAAAGGGATTTTCTGGTCCAAACTGCAATGTTATAAGAAAAAACAAACTTAAATTCTGAGTATATAAAGCCAGAGTTACTAGAATTATTGTACAATATATTTTCAACTCTAAATCATTAGGGGCTGAGTAACCTACTTGGGAACATGCTCACCACACATGGTTCAGTGCAGCTGGGCAATGGCTGATTAGCACTGTTTGTCAGTCCCTAGGTCAGAAGAAGAATCCAGCTCACCTAAGTCTATGTGTGGCTATTTAAATTTAAATAAGTAAAATAAAACATTCAGGTCCTCAGTCACACTAACCAAACTTCAAGACTTCAAAAGTCACATGTGGTTATTGGCTATTACATTTCCATCACTGCAGGAAGTTCTACTTGACAATGCTGCTCTTGATAATTAAAGTAACTATATTTTTGTCTAAACCATGATTTGGGGGATTTTTGGTAACTTTTTTTTTTTTAATTTGTAAAGATGATTTTTGGTGACTTTTATATCAATAATGGCACCATGATGTAATTTTTAAAAAATACATGTTTCTTCTCCACTAGATTATGAGTTCCTCAAAGGTAGAGACTTAAAATCCTTAATGCTTACCATAATGCCTGGCATATAGAAAGCACTAACGAAGGAAAGATTAATCAGAACCCCACTGGGGGCAGAGCATAGGAAATAGACAATAAAAGTAAAATGCTTGAAAAAGTCCCTAGAAAAGACATTACAAATGAAAATAAAATTTCTCTATTGTGAAAAGTCACACTATGAAGTCTCACACAAAATAGTACATCATTATCTGTTTGTTTATAATGCTTTGAGTTTCCATAATGCTTTCCAAACATTATTTACTTTGGTCTGTACAAAAATCCTGGAAAGTTAGAGAGGTAGTCTCCTTTTTATGTTAGAAGTGCAGGAAGGAAAAAAGCCAAAGATGATGTATTTTATCTGCCCTAGAGTCAATAGTTTTATTCTTAATTGGCAAACCCAGGTTAGAACAACGCCCAGTCTAGGATTCTACTGCATCAGACATTCCTTAAATGTACAATCATACTAACTTTTTAAAAAATTGGGTAAAAAAGTACCGAATTATATCAAACACTCTTAATTTAATGATATTTATTTAATGGTAATGGGAAAATCCAATTTTGTATTTTTTTTTTAAGATTTTATTTATTTATTTGGTGGGGGGGAAGCGCAGAGGGAGAGTGTGAGGGAGAAGCAGATTCCCAGTTGAGCGGAAAACCTGACATGGGGCTCAATCCCAGGACCTGAGATCATGACCCGAGCCATTGTCAGACGTTTAACAGACTGAGCCACCCAGGTGCCCCTGTATTTTCTTTTTAAATAAAGAATAAAATGAACTTCCCACTTTGGAAATTGTGGAATTAGACAGGATATTTTTATTTGAACTCTGTAGGTCTAGTATCATGATGAAGTTATTTTGATGTTAGAACATCTTAGGTCACTACCCTTAGAAACCACCTTTCCTATGATACATTTCTAGAGCCATAAATATAAATTATTGATCCTCTCTTAAGCAGAATGTTGCCTTCTCTAGTATCAACATTATACTATGCACAAAAATCCGAAATTAATTGTTACACTTGCCTTATGTTTTTTTCTGCTTCAGAAAATAAATTACTACAATATTCTTTTATATTGACAGCTTCCATTTCTATACTTAAAATGATTCAATTTAAAAATATCTGATTTACATACAAAACTTTCATTACTATTTATTCTGAACTGTATAAAGGACAGTGCCAAGACTTCATAGCTCATATTAGTTCCTCCTTGCTAATGGTAGCAATGTAGGGGAGAAAAAAATTTAGACTGCTGAATGTTGGCAGTTACAGTAACTTCGTTCAGTCATGAAATTTATTACAAAAACAAGGAATATCCAATAAAATTAAAGATAATAAAATGACTTAAAAGTTTCCTAGATATTCTACCTAATATAGTCAGCTATCATCTGCAAAGCAGTTCAACATTTCTGGGGGGAAAAAATCTAAAATGATAAAAATCTCCATTACTCTTATTGTTACTCATATAATAAGTTAATCATTATGTTTAGACTTTCCAATTTGAAAAAGAAAAATACAATTTCCATAGTCTTATTTTATTAAGATTTTACAAAAAAAGAACAATTCTTCTATCAGTCATACATATCAAATCAGCTCCATCTTTTAAAGAAAAATTCTCAGTGCTAAGGAACTTTGATTTCTATATGAATACAGATCCACATATTATAGCTAAGTATATTTTATATGCGTGCTATTTCTAAAGCAGTCTAAAAATTTAAATGTGCTACATTTTATAGCTATTTAAGCTGAGACAACAAAAAAAATCTAATAGGAAGCTGGGTTGTGGGAGGATCTATCTACTTTTGGCTCACCTTAACTGCCCTGGTTACCAGCAGTTATTGGAACTGACCTCAGAGACATTAAATAAATGCCAACAAAGAAAGGGAGAGAATGTTATTCCGCAGAACTCAGCTCTTCCCAATTACTTAAAAATTATGTGTCCCAGATGTTCCCAGTCTCTGTGAATATGCACTTCTTTTAATTCTGGGTTAACCATTAAAAAACAAAACAAAGCATAGGAGTGCCTGGAGGGCTCAGTTAGTAAAGCATGCGACACTTGATCTCAGGGTTGTTAAGTTTGAGCCCCATTTTGGGTGCAGAGATTACATAAAAATAAAATCTTAAAAAAAAAATAAAAACAAAGCATATAAAAAACACACAAAACTGACTTCCAAATTTAACTTCCGGTAATTAAATTTAAGAGTAAATGTGCATTCAAGGGATTTTAATAATACATATTTGAGTTAGGTATGAGTATTTAACAGTTTTTAGCTAAGACCATACTGAAGTATACCACAATTATAATTTTAATCTCCCATATAAAATATATACATTTAAGTATTAATTCATAATTCAGATCTCATCTCAGGATGTTCCTGAATATGTTTACATCTTTCACCTGAGTGAAGTAGTGATTTATTTATAAAACAGGAGAAAAGCATTTTTAAAAAGATTTATTTATTTGAGAGACAGAGAGAGGAGAGAGGGCATGCACGTGTGGGGAGAGGGGCCGAGGGAGAGAATCCCAAGCAGACCCCCCACGGAGCGTGGAGCCCCACACAGACAGATCCCATGACCCCTGAGATCACGACCTGATCCGAAACCAAGAGTCCAAGGCTCAACCAACTGAGCCACCCAGGGGCCTCGAGAAAAGCATTTTTAACTTGTTAAGACACTGGTAGATAAATCTAAGAAATCTGTGTATTGTAAAGCAGTGATTCTCAAAAGTCTTCAGAAGGTAGAATGCTTGAGGATCAATGTCTTAGTAGTGTAACATTACATCACAGGAATTGAGAACTTACACTGGTAAAAACTGAATATATGAAATCATAACAATAAGTTTACATATAGAATGCCTCCCCCCCAAGTTACTGAACTAATAATCATATTATACTTAGATTGCTGGTAAGTTTTTCATTAATATTTATTGTAGTCATCAATGTTTAAACACTTATAAACAAACTTTAAGGTAAGAAGAGCCTGTTGAATAACTTATTTTCCACAAATTTGGAAAAGATCTCCACCATTCAATTTTATTGGCAGAATATCTCAGTCTTTTAAGACATAAAAGCATAGTTTAAATATTACTAATATAAGAATATTTTCTTAGTGTGGGTTTTATGACCTTGAGCCTTAGTTTCCTCATCTATAAAATAAAAGAGCTGAACTATCTAATTTCTAAAGTTCATTCTAACATTAATATTTATAGCAGCCCTATGGCCAGATTTTTAACAGAAACTAGGATTTTTTTTCCTTTTAACTTTGATATATCTTCTATTCCTAAAAGTACTATTATTTTAAATCTGAAAATCTCCTTCAGGCTTATGGGTTTTACGTGAGCCTAGAAAAGCTAACAAATATACTTTTCTCTAAGTAGACCCAAAAAGGATTGAGTGAAATGAAGAAAATCAGTGGACTAAAACAACGGCTATTATCTCTTCAAGTTCTGTCTATAATATGAGAAAGTTTACCTGGATACTATGTTAGCCCATTTAGGAAAAGTCCTTGGTTGGGAGGGAAAAACATATTTTATAAAATAAAATAGTCAATTCCGTTAATTTCCTGAACTAGCAAAGTCAAAGCATGCACATAGGGGTGTAACATGCAAACCCTGTAATGGTCTGCAGACTGGTCTTCCAGCCACAGAGCAATTGTTAGGAGTGATGTGAACTCACATTCCCAAATACGTTACTTGCTGGTAGCAAAACCTGAGACTTAGTTTCCTCGCTATAAAATAGGGATTAGAGTACTTATTTCACAGGATTATTGTGAAGACTAAAAGAGATAAGGTACACAAATATATAAATCCCTCAGTATGGTACCTGGTATACAGTAATAAATGATTGTTTTATTCCATTAATTTCTATCCCTGTTCTTTTCCATCATGCAAACCCTTATCAAATTAGCCTTCCTACAAATTCAGCTTTGATTATCCCACTCTTTAATAAGAACCTTAAAAATCTATTTATCCTCTACTAAATCGAGACCAAACTGCTTACCTTGGCTCCCAGATCCCTGTGCAATGCTACACAAACTACCATTTTGGTCTGACCTCCCTATTCTCCCTTACTGACGACTAAAGTATTCCTGTTCTCTGGATCTTTTATGATTTAGCTAATGCTTTTCTCCTCTTTCCTCGTAAAAGCCTTCCTAGCATCAATGCCAATAATAGTAACATAAATAACAACAAGCGCTGCTACTTACTAAATGCTTACTGAGTACCAGAGAGTTTCCTAACCCTATCATACACTAGTGCATGTATCCATGCAACTCGGTAAAGGAGAAATTGTCTTCATTTTATCTATGAGAAAACTGAGGTAATCCAAGGTTATACTGAAGCTAATAAGCAGTGTATTTAATCCCAAATCTCATGTTCTTAACCTGGACTTTATTGCTTATTTTAAATACTTCTTCCTCTAGGCAACTTTTTCTTATCTTCACAACCAGATACAATCTTTCCCTTAACTTGAATAGCACTTTAGGCATTATAGGAAACAGTCTGGTCTCTGTATCTTTCTAAAAATAACACTGAGCATATCATCTCTGGTAAACAGTAGCTTGAGGAGGAGGATTATATCTTTTTCTAACAATGGATTCTTTTTTTTTTTTAAAAGATTTTATTTATTTATTTGAGAAAGAATGAGAGAGAGAGAGAGAGAGCATGAGAGAGGGGAAGGTCAGAGGGAGAAGCAGACTCTCTGCCGAGCAGGGAGCCCGATGCGGGACTCGATCCTGGGACTCCAGGATCATGACCTGAGCCAAAGGCAGTTGCTTAACCAACTGAGCCACCCAGGCGCCCCTAACAATGGATTCTTAAGATATGGGAACTTGAATTTCAACAAGCAAAGTTCCTTAACACCTTTCCATACTTTGTCAAATTATACAGACCCTAGTCATAAAATTCAAAGGTAATAATCTATTATGTAACAGACAATTCATTTGGCAACCAGGAAATATAGTAATTTTTCTTCACTTTTCAATCTCATCTCTCTTTTCTTAAATTGGTAATAAGCATCAGTGTTCCTAACATAAATTAATTTATATTTTGAATGTGAGGCTCCCTAGATGAGAAAAAAAAACCCAGAATACTAAAAGGATTGGTAATTTCACAAAGAGAATGATAGGCCTAATGCCTCATCAATATCACCAAAAAAATCTTAATCTTTTAAATTTCGGAAAACTAAAATCACACAGCAATTGATTAGTTATGCACAAGATCTAAAAATGGAAGAGAAACAGACTTCATATAAAATGCACTGACATAGGAACATCACACACCATATTACTTCCAAATTTTCTTGTTCTGTAATTTAGTGGCCCTAATTTATGGAAGCACTTTTCATTTAAAAAATCATGAAGCATACATGTAACATAAGACCTTTCTTCACTGTGCCAGCTAAAATGGTGTCAAGGGATATGAGTCTACAGGTTCGACAGGCTAGAATGATTTAAGAAAAATAAAATTTAAAAGTGCTGCAGTCTCAAGAGTATGAGAAAGAGATTTCGGCTTACTGTACACCCAGGGAACTGCTAGAGCACTGTCTAAATACTACCACTGACATCATCGGCTATGCTACATATTTCAATTGCCATATTTTAAGTGACTACAGAAACCTGAGCAGGCAAATTATATGAAACAGCTTTATGATTCTGCTTTATCAAAAAAAAAGGAAAAAAAAGGGACAATGACTACATGCTAAAAAACAAAAAATTAAAAAGTTCCTCTTTCTCCACCCAGTTGCGAAAAAATATGGCTCCTCACCCTCATTTTTAAAGTTTCTTAAAGATCCTGCTACTGAAGGCTTATTTTGTTTTATAATGACCATTTTTTGGCATCTCTATTTTCTCAATCAAGTATTCTTTCCCCTTTTAAAAATGAAATAGCTAGAAATTTAATTTTTTCTACAAAGACTTTCCTAGATGGACAATCCTCACTGTTTTTTGCCTTTTTTCCTTTCTCATCTTCTTTATGCTTCCATCACCATTTATCATCATCATCAACATCACCATCATCATGATCACCATCATAAGATGTCTCACCCAGAGCAGGTAATATACCTGTGACTACTGTTGAGCAGCAAACACATTAGCATGGCACTTCTTTCTAGCACTTAGCGCAGGAGCATCTGTAACCAGATGTTTCAAAATATACCATGCATTGAGGATGCTAATAATAAAACAAATTCTTTTTCCCTTATGGTTAATTTATAATACTCCCTTAACAATATTGAGGAACATATTAATTACGTTCACATCTAAGAATCAGATATTTAAAAATTTCCTTTTTCAAAAGACATCGTTCCATTCTATCAAATGTTACAAGTTGGTAGAGAAACAGTAGTGGATTTTTAAAAGTATATTTTCTTTTCCTTTTATTTAAAAATTGAGATATAACTGACATACAACAGGACATAGTTTTTAAAAGTTTAAATAGTATACTCTTGTGAGAAAACTCTGAAAAATTCATCAACTGTTTATCTACTTATGTATAATTCAAATGCTTTAGCAAAAGGCAGAATCTTAAATATATTGTTTTCTCACCTCAGGAGCAAACATGGTCTCATAGGTAGGATTATACTGAACCTCTTTGACAGCAGGGTCAAGGTGAACTCCAGTCTCTAAATCTTCCTAAAAGAAAACCAAATGAACATTAAAGATCAGACAAGTAATCATTTTGTTTTGGAAACTATATTAAGGTCACACTAGCTATTTTAATACCAATTTTATGATTTTTATACTAGTGCCATATGATTAATAATTCAAAGATTAATAAAAGTAATGTATGCAGTATAAAGGTTAGAATGCATAACATTGTTTCCTTTCAAAATGCTGACCTTCTCCCATCTGAACAAATTAAAAATTTCTAAATAGGCTAATAAGCTACTCAAAGCTTTAAATTAAGAGAGTCTAAGTCCTCTTTTTTATGAACTCAAAAAACTTAACCTCTGGTTCCAAATTCAGGACAACTCCTTCTTTATGCAGCAAACCTTATTAGACATATGCCCAGATGGCCCACGGTTCCAGGCTACAGAAGTGGCAAGGCCCCAATATTCTAAATCTAAATCTTCCACTCTATGCCAATGTTTCAACCTTCTGAAATTCACCCCCCAGTTTAATGAACATAAAAATCTATGTCCACTAGAGAATCACTGGTGATCTCTATCTTGTGTAACCACACCACCTACAACAAATATAATAATTCCCAAATTGGTATCTCTTGCCTGGACCTCTCCTCTGAACTCTAAAGACTTGTCTATCTAAAGTTTAGCTCAACATCTTTTCTCCCAGGATGCCTAACAGACATCTCAACTTGATACATCCCAAAGGGAACTTCTGGTCTCCCCTTCCCCAATGACTTCTTCCCAGCCTTACATTTGCTCAGGTGGAAACTCCTGGAGTTATCCTTGATTCCTCTTTCTTTCACGTTGTATCTCCAATCCATCAGCAAATCCTCTACCTTCTGTATACATACAAAGTTCAACCACTTCTCAAGTTCTCTTCCACGGTCATCTCACAGTCCAATTTACCAACTCACACCAGATTGTTACAATAGCCTTCTAACTGGGCTCCCTGCTCTATCCTCCCACAGCCTCACTCCATGCAGGAAGCTGTGTGATTTTAAAAAAATATTAGATTATGTTACTCCTGCTCTAAACCGTCAGGTAGCTTCTCCACTCAGAGTAAAAGCCTAATGAAAGCCAGCAGGCTCAATACCAGTTGTTCTCAGAAAACAAGTATGGCTCCCCAGGGTAGTGTTATAGGGCATTTCTATCTTCCTGTATTGTCCTGCCTGAGTATTTACATATTAAAAAACATGTTGTTTGGACATGTTTAATTCACATATTAAACAGGCTATAAATACCTTCCCTTTAATTAGGGCACTCAAGTTATATTTTGAAATTTTTATGGAAGTTATATATCATCTATGAATTATATTTCAGTAAAGCAGAATTACAGAAATGCTATTACAAAATGAGGATGTTAAATCTAATTGGTTGAGAATTATCGTCCTCTTCTGAGATCTCAGAACAATCTCTCCCCGCCAAACTTGCCCTCACAAACTTCTGTCTTCATCAAGTCCTGTGCCAGTGCTCATCAACTCCAGCCTCACTGGCTCATTTGCTATTCCTAGAATTCACCAAAGGTCAATCCTGCCTCAGGGTCTCTGCATATACTATTTCCTTTTCCTGGAATGTTCTTTCCTTCCCTAGATATCCACATGATCGTTTTCTCTCTTTTATCAGGTTTCTGTTCAATTTTTCTACTTTCCTCTTACCTTGCTTTACTTTTGTTCATTATATTTATCATCATCTGACATATATATTTATAGTCTACCACCCCTTACTGAAGTATACGATACACAAGTTGGATGTCATATGCACAAATGTATCCTCGACCCCTAGAATTATCCCTGTCATATCACCGTCTTTATTCTGTTGGCCTTTTGCTGACGTAGGATACATCTGTCAACACATTACAAAACACAATTCAAAGTAATATAAAAATTTTTTTTTAAAAGGTGAGATACCATGAAGTTGACAGTGATGCTGGAGAAGAAGCAATGCCACTGACAAATGGAAGATTTGGTAGTCTTAGAACAACTAATGACCAAAGACTAGAAAACAGCAACAACAAAGTAATACTCGAGGCACACAATCAGTATTCCAAGATTTTACCACTTTTTAAAGCAACCCTCACCCAAAGCAGGCAATTTAATTTCCCTACTTCTCAAAGACAGCGTTCCTCAAATATGACTCCCTTAAACTGCCATCCTCTCTAGTTGCAAAACTGTCCCTATCTTTACCTGATCCCGTCTTTCTCAGGACTTCAGTCTCCACCGCCGATTTCATCTGCAGCCGGGACCACACTCCTGGCCTCTGTATCTAACTGCCTAGTGAACTATATGCTGTGGGTGTTCCACCGCATCAAACACTTCGCTACGTCTCATTCCATGTTTCCACCTTTATTCACTAACAGATAAGGCACTGAGCCTTACTGATCCTATCTCTCCAATATTTCTCCGGCAACCCTGCTTCTACTGTCCTTCACACCCCCGTCTCCACTATCCTAGGACAGACTTCATCGTACCTTGCCTCATCTGTTATGATACCTCCTTATCGGGTAATACACTCCCACCTTTGCCTTATGAGACAAATTACTGATTTTTAAAAATACCAAGCACTTTCACCCTTGCTGTGCTGTTGGCAATGTTCCTTATGCACTTCCCTTTGCTATCTGATAACGTGTCATCTTCTTATTTTCTCTTATACCTTCCCTTCTCTTGGCTCAGGAAAACTGCTTTTCCATAATCCTAAGGAATGTTTTACAAATTCCTTATGGCAATTACGATGTTATATAACTTGTTGCACATGACTTTTACTAACATTTTATATCCTCACTGTCTAGTAGAATGCGGGGTAATCAGTACATGTTCAATAAACATTTGTTAACTGAAAAAAGACAAAGTCAAGTCCACTGAGAAAGAGGATGAAGGCTGACTAAAGATCATTAAATTTGGCAATGACATCACATAAAACCTTTGCCAGAGCGATTCCGGCAGCGGGGTAGAGTATGGAAAAGCAGTTGTAAGAGGCAGAGGTACAACTAAGGATTCAGAAAAACAAGACAGTAGAATTTTTCCTCTCTCATTTGGCGATAAAGAAAAGAAGAGGAGATGGGGTGCCAGATTGAAGGATTTTTGAGGTAAAATTAAGTTTGTTTTTTCCCTCCTTAAGAAAAGACTAAGCCAAGATTTAGTCAATTAAAGCTACAGGATACGAGTGAGTTGGGAGAAACGCAGGAAAAAAGCTAGCACAGTTGGAAGGTTATGCTCTGAGGAGAGGAGAGCCCTCTGTGAGGTGAAACAGAGACAACAAAGACAGGATGGGGGATGGGTGATAGATGTCTGGAGCCGGTGGGAGGGCTGGGGACTCACAACGGGTGTTATTTTCTTTGTGTCGTTGGGGGCACAGGCCTCTTCACAAAGCAAGTATGGTAACTTCAAATTCATTCATACATTCCATAAATATTGACTGGGTGCCTACTGTGTGCTAGGCATTGTTCTAGGCCCACGGGAACAGATAAAGCTCCCTGTCCTTGTGGGGCTTGTATTCTAGTGGCGGAGACGGACAATAAGCAATAGAGTAAGTGAATTATATAGTTTGCTAGAAGAGGGTAAGTGAAAAAGAGTGTTTAACAACCTCAGTGTTGTCTCACATTATCTCATATAATTCCTACAACACTTCTATGAAATAAGTACTAGCAACATTAAGTCATTTACCCCAAAATGCTCACAGAATAAATGAGAAGGGGAAAAATTTCAAGTAACCACAAGGAATGATGTTAAAGACACCCTATTAGCACCAAACCAAAAAAAAAATCACTGGCAGACTATCTATCAGTCAGGGTTCTTAGCCGCAAGCAGCTGAAAGCCTTACAGACTGATTAAACAGTATCGAGCCCTTCTGAGTATCGAATCCTTTTTCTTAGAATTGCCAAGAAGGGTAGAGAATCAGTTTGAGGAAAGAGGTATAAATAAAAATGAGTATACAGATGGAATCACAACTGAAAATCGATCATAACACAGAACCAGTCCACTGAGGACAGGAGTTCACCATTACTGAACTACTGTGGCTGTCACCGGGTGCTGCTGCTGAGACTACCGGCCCGAGAAACTACATGTTGGCCACCACTGCCACTTAACATATTCTCTTTCCTTGCTTCTTTGGGATTGGCTTTAAATTAGAATTTAGGTGAGTGCATTTGTCTGCTCGGCCTAAGTTACCATCCCTGAGCCTTGGCTAAAAAGGAGCTGGGAGAAGAAGAATCTGGGCTCTCGGCCTCTGAAGGTTGGGGGCAGCAAGGGCTGTTCCTCACATTAAGACTCTTAGGGAGGGGATTCAGATGCTGGGCCACCTAAAATATGATACATATACAGTGGACCCCTGAACAACACGGGTTGAATTTATATGCAGATTTTTTTCAGTAAACATCATACAGTACTGTAAATGTATTTTCTCTTATGATTTTCTTAGTAACATTTTTTCTCTAGCTTCCTTTATTGTAAGAATACAGTATATAATACACATGACAAGTATGTATTAACTGACTATGTTATCAGTAAGGCTTCCGTCACCAGTACAGGCTATCAGTAGTTAAGTTTCTGGGTAGTCAAAAGTGATACTCGGATTTTCAACTGCACAGTGGAGGGGAGGGGTTGGTGTCCCTAACCCCTCGTCGTTCAAGGGTGAACTGTTTATTACCCTAGAACGCACACTAGAATCTTCATTGCTTAGAGATAGTATCTGCCAAATGTTGAGTAGAAAAATTCAGTACCATAAAATTAAAAGGTCATATACAAATGGCTTCAACTGCATAAAAACTAAATGCATTTCTCAATATTTAATTCTAGTATAAACTGCTTAAAATAACAAGGCTTAGCCACATTCATACCTCCCCAGTGGATTTCATACAATACAGTTGCTAGAACCACTTTATAATATGGTTTACCAGATCTTTCCGATTATGAGTATTTTCAATTTGATTTTGAACAGAGTACCAGGAGATACCAAATTTTAAATGCAGAGTACAATTTAAAAAGAATTACTCTTATATACACAACAGTGGCA